GATCTTCCTAAATAATTATCATAGATTCTTAACAACTTCCTTGTACGGAATATTAAATTATACGCATTTTTTCTTGCATTTTATTTAAACTTATTAGAGTGAATTAAACCTACTTCGCCGACAGCGCATAAACCACAATAGAATAAATGCATTCTTTAAAATTCACTTTATTTACCATAGCGACACTTTGGCACTAGGTTTACTTAAGAGTATTATATTTCATTCATATTATAACTCAGAATGCACAAAATGTATATCATTTAAAAAGTTATATAATCGTTGCCACATGTTCTATTCAAATACTATAATAAAGCTAGAACTATGTATAAAAGAAATTAAGAAAACAAAACAAAAAAGAAACAGTTCACAGACGATTGAGTATTTCTCATTTAATTAATTCAGTTCTCACTTCGCGAGAAGGCAAAAATACATAAAAACTCAAAATATCTATATTAAAATTACGAAGTAAATCTCAAACGCTTATTTCCTCGAAAAAATTCCAGAAAGAATTAAGCATGATTTAATTGGCAATAATAAATGAATGCGTTATCTTTGTTGTTGCGAAGCTAAGTTTCTCTAGATTGGCAACAAATCCACTAGTCTCCTGTTTCAAATGTAAACATCAATGGCCGCCATTAAAACAGGCTTAGCGGCAATTAAACAACTTTAAAATTGCTGATAATTCTAAAAAAATATTGCACACAGATTTACTAAAGGCATAAAATCCTTAACCGGAAGAAAAACCAACATAATTCAATCATTTTTGAAGCAAAAAATGTACAATTTACAAACATATAAGAGTAAAGAAACTGAGATCACTGAGCCAGGTAATAGAGTGGATATATATATAAATATATTTATATACGTTTGGTGCGGCCGATTGCAACCAAAATACGAGGTGCACATCTACATGTTATAGCAGTCCTATATACAAAATTTCAACGTTCTGAGGCTACTCGTTTTTGAGTTATGCGAGATACGCACGAACGTACGTACAAACGCCACGAAAAATTCTCTTCAGAATTAATTTTAAAGCAGTTTTATAATTTTTTTGAAGGAAAAGAGTATTTTATTCTGTCCTTACGTACAGATATGACGCAAAAACATCGTTAAATTGCATTCGATAGCGGTCAAAATGGATATTTTCGTTGAAATATGCTGCCTGAAACTTTTCGCGATTACAATACTTCCTTTTTACTTCGTACGAGGAAGTAAATAGAAAAGATAAAGACCATTTGAGCTGGATTTGCTATGCTTCATTTATCTTAAAAAATAACTTGCAGTATTTAGTTTTTCTTCATCCATTTAGTCACCCATAGGCAAAAAAATCATTCTTGTAACAATGTGATTGAGGCAATTTTCTGACATGGGTTTACCTGTCTTTCTTAACTGCTTTCAAAAATTAGTAAAAGCATTGTCTTTATTTTTCATTCATATTGTCATCGAAAAAGTTATTTTACGAGAATTTGTTTTCTAATCTGGATGTCATGATATTCACAGCTGTTTAAGATGGCAAGATAGTTATTAAAGGGATCAGTAAATTCTTAAATGCTGGTCCAGTGTCTCAATTTAAGAAACCTTCATCCTATGATCTGTTTAAAATACAGCCGACTAAATAACTAACTGTAACCAATCCTTTAACCTTTAATAAACTGTTGGACTAACTGTGACAACAAGGCTGCCCTCTGTTGAGTAACCAGAGAAGTACTTCAGTAAAAGTTAAATGTCCCACTTGATAGGTTGTACCAGACTCTTGCTCTGTAATTTCCTTAAATGTAATGTCCGTGTGTAACTTAAACCTGTTAATAAATACTTGTTACACTATACAGGACTCTTCTATGACCCTATCTAAAACGAACCCCGGCATATAACTAAATAATATATTTACTTATTCCGGCAAACGAAGGCAACTACGGGATAGTACCCATAAAACTTTATATTAAGAGGGAAAAGGGAGTTCGACATGCATTCGAGCTTTCTTGCTGCGCTAAGATAAGAAGGAAAAGTTGATCGAACATTGATTCTCCGCGCTGCCTGCCCGAAGGGATCTTAACTTAGTGCATGTTTGCTTTTCCGTCAGATCCGAAGTCCTCTGAGTAGAAATCTCAGCGAGCATAATTGACGACCATCAAGCACTGGTAACTCTACTGGGGTTCAATACAAATTGCGAGCGGGTTGGCTTGCTTGGAGATTTCATGGATTTTTCAACGTGTGATGTGAAAACTAACCAGCTTACGTTAGCTAGTGATGAAGGCATCTCTTTCTTGGCATTCATGATCAAACAAACAATAAATTAATCCTTTGAATTAAAAACCGCAGTTCAGTTACCACATAGTCTTCCTGCTCGTGAACAAAAAAATTCTTTCCCCAGATGCTGCTAATTGTGGTAGTCTATATTATGCTTTTCGTAAACTTACAAAACTGGCGTACTATTTTGGTCCGCTGTTTCTAATTTGAATATTGCTTGCTGTCCATTAGTCAGCATCTATTTACTAGATTTTTTTTATTGTTGTAGAATAATACTACTTAAAATTTACTTAAATTTTACTTAAAATTTGCTTCAGTTTGTCCTTAAACTTATAAATATGTCACCTGACAATTTATCATGGATGATGTAGAATGCTTATAATCAGTGCAGAAGAATCCGAATCTGAAATGAAAGAATTTCCTTCTTCATGCATTGAAACTGGATAATTAACTTCTCTCACTAAACGTTTCTTTAAGTAAGCACACTTTGCTTTTTAAAAATTTCTATTTTTCTAAACAGAAGATTGATCATGGGGGAGTTTTTTTCGATCTCATTCTGCCTGGGGCATTAGTTTGATCCTGAAATTTTAAAAATTAATTTTTCAATCTGATTTCCCCACTTTTTTTCCTCTATGATGGATTTAACTAAAATTTAAGTTATTCTGAATGCATTAATTTTGCCGTTTAATTCACTTAAACTCGAATCATCTAGCTTGTTTTCCTTCCTTAACATCGTAGTTACTCAATGAATCTACTTTAAGTACTGCTGTAAAACTTATAAGAGGACATCTAAGCTATCTCAAGTTCACCTCCTGTCCTTATAATGTTTTCTAAAAGTTACTTGGCGAATTATCACAGCTAGTTTAACCAAATGCTGAAATCAAGCAAATACAAATATCTAACTTGAGTTTCTTCTACCTCACCACTCATGAGGGACAAAGTAAAATATTACATCACAAAATTACCATTCGCTGTGACTTGGCAATGAAACGAATAGGCCGTTAACAGTATGATAAATTACAAATGAAAACACTTTCTAACAGAAGCTACAAGCTATGGATTGGTAACAAAAATCTTAGCTTACTGACCAAAATTTCTACTCTCAAGTAGCGGCTTGGCTAAGAGGCAAGCGTGATGGGCGTTAGCCAAGCGTTATCTACATATTCAACTACGCTTACGAATTTTTTATAACTTTATACTAAACTGCTTGTCATTAACATCTGCATAAATTTTCTGTAATGAGCTAATCAGGGACGAAAATGAAAGGAAAGGTATAAATTCAACTTAACTTGTTAGTAAAAACTCAACTATAGTGCTACATTTTTTGACTGTATCGAAACTTTTTCTAATTTTGCCTACTCCCCAATGTTAAAAATCCTGTTTGCTTAACAAAGGACGATTTCGCTTTACACTTTTCTTTTCAGTATTCTGAAGGTGTATGCTTCTTTAAATCTGCTGCTTGTCAGAAACTTATTTGTATAAGAGCCGTTTCTATCGGTAGAGGCCTTTTCCATAATAACCTCGATCAAGTAATTAAAAAGTTTCCATTTATATTAAGAAACAAAATTTTTCTTTCTGAGCAGTCTTCGAAACATAGTTCTGATCCGTCTCTTCCTTTTTATGAATTATAAACTGCGCATATTTTACAGAAGTTTAATTTTCAAGTCTTTTTTTTTTTTTTTTTTTTCACACTAAACGAGCTTTAAATTTGCGCATTAAGGAGAAACATGTAATTTATGTTCCAAGAGGGGTAATCATCTATTATATATCAGTAGTTGATCTCTTGATCGTATCCTCATATCCTCTTAATCATCATTAGTTGAGCTTCTGATCACATCTTCGGCTGAAATGGTTTAAAGTAAAAGCTTCTGTTGATGAATTAGATTTCCTTGAAGATTTTCATATTCATAAATGTCTTCCGAAGTGCTGTTAACAATTCTAACAATCTCTTTTTCCCCCGTCGTTCTTCAAACTTCTTAATCTATGATTTATTAGCACTTTAGGGGGGTTAATAGATAATATCAGGTGTTTTCCTTGTAGTTTTCTATCGTTTCGTTGTAGTTAATGTTTATCTTTCCTTGTAATTTAATGTCTTTAAAACTTGTTTTTATCTTCCTTTTTCCCTGATTTTATAGATTTTGTTTGAGCCATTTTCCTTAACAGTTTTTCAGCTGTCCAAGACAAGAATTCTATTTATCTCTTTTAACTTGCCCAATCGTTTGTCTCTTTGCTTCTGGCTTAGCTGTTTATCTTGATCATTAACATACGACTGACTCACTTCAACTGAAAAGAACAATAGTGAGTACTAATAGTTCTTTCTAGAATAACATTTTTGGAGGGGGAAAAACTGAATACAATTCAATGGTTTTCTGCATAAACCTTAAACACTCAATATGTTTTAACCATAAGTTAGCCAGTTTTCTTTAAAAAGTCTTTCGTAAAGGCTGAGCCTCCGAAATAGACTTCCACCAAATGCTAATCACCTCAGTGCCGTCTTAACAATCAGTGTGCTCGGACCCTTACGACAACTACCAATCTATTAATGGCAAATCAACTGACATATGGCATGAGGCTGCTATGCTTTGGGGACGTCGGGGCAAGTGCCCATGCATTAAGACGGTTCTGAATCATCTACTTACCTGAAATACCAACTACATACTTAAATGTAATATTTTTGTAAACACTGCATACACATTAGTAAATTAAAATGCAATTATAAATGTATTTTAATGTTCATAATATTTTTTTTTCAGGTTTATTTGAGCAGCCGTCGTGGTGCATGGGTTCTACCAAGAGTAGGTCCAAAAGGGCATCCATTTGATGCAGTATTTGTTCGTCGCTATGTGATTTTGATGCAAAAATTTCTACCATACAGCCTTGTATGCTATTACTCTGAGAAACAGATCAACGAAAGATTTAACCATGCCTTGTATAACCTAAAACCAAAGCACAGAATCTGGAGTCAGCATCCGACTGTCAGCGACACTTTGCCAATTAAATTACTGAGTGGAACCGTTGTGACTCGAGGAGCTATTAAACGTATTACGAAGACTGGGGTTATATTTCAGGGCGAAGAAGTAGGTATCTTTTATGTATTATGCAGAAAGGTGCATGTTATATCTGCCAACTTTAAATAACAACTGAAAGAAATGTGTGCTTGTAGTAACTTTATATGACTGTAAAATAATAATATACGCATGGGTATTTACTATGGATGATACTATGGATAATAGTATCATCAATGAACCTCGAAAATAAATGTGTTCCAAATACTATCCTTCTTCTTAGATGTACAGTTTGAAATGATACGAGAGGGCTCCCATGACGTGTTTCAGCATGCCCTGTGGAATGTTGTTGGAGTACAGCCATACTTGTGCTTACCAGTTAGAACCAAATTGTGTCTTCCAATTCTCCCTTGCTTTATAATTCCGCCAGTCCTCACTATTCCGTAGCAATACCCACTGATTGTTTGTGATAAAACCTGTTCTGAAGGCTTACCCTTCCGCAGTCTTCAACTGCACATATCTGTGGTATACTCTTTGACTGACTTCTAGTTTTCCATGGGTATAAGTACGCCACACATGCGCATGTGCATTTCACTTTCAGTTGGGTACACCTGAACTAAAAGTGATAAATTGCAATATGCGCCATCCTACAAGTAGCTGAAATTTTCTGGTAAACATTGCAATTTGCACTCAGTAATAACTAAAAATATGAAAATGCTAATATTATCCCTCGTAAATCCTCTGATTAATTAAAAATTTACGATACATATTTGGATATTCTGTTTAACACTGCAATTTCATAAGTAGATAATGGTTAAGTTTATAAAAGGAGCCTAAATAAGTGTTGTCAATCGGTCAGGTAACATTACCTATTCTCTCTCTCTTTTCCTTCATTTTATTTCGTTGGTTATTTTCATAATTTAGCACTGAAAAATTTAAAGGGAAAAAAGCATTGTATGAACTATTAATGTGGTAATTTATGGTTTCATTATTTATAACTTTGTGCATTTATTTTGAAAACTCTTAATTTTCGAACAGTAAAAACATATTGTTCTCAATAATTAGAGAAATATATTATTCCTAAAACTTAAAGCGGCGCGCCATACTAGAATTATCAATATGCGAATGTCTTTTCCTTGAGCATTAACATAAAGGTAATTAAGATATGATCTCCTTAGCAAAGGGATTAAGTTTATTAAAAAAAAAAAGCGTTAACAAAGAGCGTTTCAATTGGGCACACACACTAAACCTATAGACATGCGGAATGCCATCTAAGAGCGCTGTACTCTGTTTTAGACAGACAACCTGCATCGAACAATTTTCCACCAGATTTACCACTGAAAGAAACACGCACGACGTTTCTCTCCCTTCCACAAAAAGTTGCAGATATCTCATATTTTAACCTGTAGAGTCATTAGTGGTTTTTTTTTTTTTTTTTACTACAGGAGACGTGAAAAATATGCAGACTTGATTCCTGGACTCGTATTTCAACCTGTAGAGTCATTAGCCTTTTTTTTTTAAATAAACAGGAGACGTGAAAAACGTGCAGTGTCCTCGCCGGGACTCGAACCCTGGACCTCTCGAATACGCGACGAGTATTCAGTATCTTCCAGCCTTCCGAATATATGATATAATTCTATCGCATATTTTCTAGGGCACCCCGTATGTACTCACATATACAAAAATATTGTAAAATAGATGAAAAGCCTATATTTATCAAAAGCCTACTTAGTTAAATGCACAAAACGAGAAGAACTGACCAAAATAGCGAACTTTAGACTTGAATACACAGTAAGAAAGGTCTAAAGAACAGATATTAGGAAAAGACGACTTCTGTGCAGATCCAAGCGATAGATAAGAAAGTTTACAATTTCCTTCTTTTTAAAGGCACACTAAAAATGAATGCATGGCAGCATTTTAAAAGAAATAAATGGGCAAAGATTTCTAACTATGATTCAAAATATAGAAACTTGATAATAATAATTTTAAATAACAGTTTTCTTCAAAACTTTCTTTCGCTATGTTCAACGAATGTAAAATAGAGAGAATAGTATCATAGAGATGAAAAATAAAACAAAATTAGCACATACAATGAAAAAAAAAATATTTTTAAATGCGCAGGTTCGTCAAATAAAATCTGTTTTACACAGAATTCAGTAAGAATGTAGTATTAAGTGTGATTTACTTATATATATAATATTTCTGTGTGTGTATTATAATTAACTCATTTATATTTTAATTTATTTTTTTCTTCTTTAGGAGGAAACTGAAGTCGACGCTATTGTATTGGCTACAGGATACAAAATACAATTTCCATTTCTAGATGATGATACCCTTCGTGTCGTGGATAACAAAGTCCAGCTGTATAAGTTCATATATCCACCCCACTTACCTCATCCTACTTTAGCAATTCTTGGGCTCATACAACCATCTGGCCCTGGGTTTCCAGTTGGTGAAATGCAGTGTAGGTGGACTGCTAGAGTTATGAGTGGTAAACACAGCTTACCTTCAAAAGAAGTGATGATGGCTGATATCAAAAAGAAATTGGATTTCATTCGGAAGAGGTTTGTGGACTCTCCAAGACATACTTTGCAAGTTGATTTCATTGGATATCAAGATGAACTCGGTGCTGAGATCGGGGTCAAGCCAAATCTATTGAAATTAGCAATAACTGACCCAAAATTATTTTGGGCTATTTTTACTGGACCATCTCTTCCGTATCAGTACAGGCTTCAAGGTCCAAACTCATGGCCAGGAGCTAGAGATGCCATCTTAACATATAAGGAAAGAGTTTACACTCCATTTCAGAGACCTGGACAAAAGATAGTGATCCCAAAGAAGCGTTTAATAAATCAGGGTCTTATTATAAAGTTATTGTTTTTGTTGCCTATCATCTGGTACTTTTTCTTAGCTGTTGTTTTATGCGATTTCTAATTCAGCTTTCCTTATAAAACTATAGCTAAAAGACGTAACCTGTTTCTGAAATGTCATGAACGACGTATTATGATTTTCATTTGTCTATGTGTGCTATCCTGTGCATTCTCTGTGTTTGTTTAAGATGTTCTGTGGCAAATGACCGATAAAATTATTATCTTCTATTATTATTCTATTGAAAATTATTTCATTACTAAGTCAGATTTTATTTGAATTTTATTGTTTTAAAATTTAAATTTCGTTCTTTTAAACTTTAAATTTTATTCTTTTAAAATTGTTTGGAAGCATCATATCATATATATCAAACTGATATTTTATAAACTTTTATATTAATTAATGTATAAAATGATAAAAATGGCCAATATTTACTTGCATAAATTGGCACATGTATAAAATGATAAAAATATCCAAATATATTGAAGTTTATTTTTATTGTATTAAATTCTCTTTCCTTGCGTTGCATGACAGTAAATAGGGTTGTTAATAAAACAAAGCATAAAAATGAAATTTCGCTTTGAAATGCTTTTTTTTTTCTTGAGCTAAACTTTCTTCATTTGTTTTAAATTCTAAATTCTCCAAAATATCAATTTTTTCTCGTATAGATAATTGCTAAAAAAGAGATTTGGGGCACTGTTAGTTGAAATAAAGTTTGAGATTTGTTTTCTAAATTTTGTAAACAGTAATTGAAGCCGCATTATAAGATAACTTTGTTTTATAGTTAGTTTTTTTGTGGAGGGGGATATTCTTATCTCGAAAATAATTTAACATTATTTTAATAAAATTAGGACTAAGTGTTAAATATTTATGAGCAATTCTGCAGAAAACTAGAACCCAGTGAGTTAGTTCTAGACTAACTCATTAGAAATGATAACAATATTAAGCAGTGATTCACGGAAACATTTGGTCATATAAGCTGTGTTCTTGTAAAAAAAAAAAAATGCTTGGTGCTTTGAATGTAGCTCTCTGTGTATTATTCATTGAAAAGGCATTTAGCAGATTCCCAGTTGATCAAATTGCAAGATTTATAAGTTCGGTATCTCAAGTGGTACTGAACTTGTTCGGCCGATAAATCGGTAGTTTATAGATATCCGTCCTTGTGGAAAAAGAGCAAATCCTTTAAAAAATATTTTGATTTATTTTGCTGATAATAATGTGATTTAGTATTTCTAATAAAAACCGTAAGAAAACGATTTGATTTATTGCTTCAAGCATGACTAATTTAACACATTAGCAAGTAAATCATTATCATTATTTAAACGATTATTTCTTTAAGCCATCTTATAAGGATCAAATAATCTCGGTGACATATCTCCTCATCTCTCCCTTATTTACCAAAGGGACTTTCTAACGGTTCGTATTCGCATTAAACATGGAAAAAATCACAAAGAATATGTAACCAGTCCATTCAGTAACCGAATTACCAGTTTTCAGCCATCTTATCCACTCTGCCACTAGGTCACAAAAATATTTAGAATCTAATGTGAAACGGAGAATTAATAAGACAAAAGGAATATTCAAAGCATTATGGATGAGGAATTTATAACAGTAAAAATGACATACATAAAAAATATTCATAGAAAAACGATCAACTTTATTCCTTACCAAGTATGAAGATTTTTCATGGGCAACTGTAACGAAAGTTCTAGATCAAACTCGAATCACTCATAATCCAAAAGACGAGATGCATGGCCTGGAGGGTTTTCCATAAATTTTAATTAAACTTAATATTTACATATATACAATGTTGGCTAAAATGCCTGAATCGAATATTTAAGGCTCAAAAGGCAATAACTGAATAGTTCCAGCTAATATCTAATTCTATTGCGTAGTGCATCGAAATTCTACCTTCAAGAAGAAGAATATTTTTTCAAGTCACGTGTTCAGAAGGGGAAAGGTTAAGTAAGCCAATAGATGGACTCCTAACGCCATCTCTTGGCGATATCAAAGAATATTCCTTAACACACTCCCCACCTGAACTCTGACAAGAGTTCATCTAACTCAGTTATACATACAATCAAGTACATAAATCACTATTCTATAAAAATATTAAAAAATACTAATTAGTCAAACACTTCAATTCCAATACAGGTATCAAATAATAAATGTTATAACTAATAAATGAACTAAATTTTAAAATAATTTCCACTTAACTGAACAAACTTAACTAACGATATTCAATTTAATCATTAATAGACAAAAAAAGAAAAAAAATAAAACGTAACTAAATCGTTAAAGTTCAAGAGGATATAGATGTTGAACAGTACGTTTTAAAGTCCCATTACCAGTTTTTAATTCGAATGATCGGACTTTACCATCACGTCCAGGAATAATTTTTATGATTCTACCAAGTTTCCATAACAGTTTGTTTTTATTATCTCCTTCGACTAAAACAACATCTCCTACTTTTAGTTCTGGTTGAAGTTGCGGATTCTTCAAGAAATGGGCAGTTCTAAGATCTAATAAATATTGTTGCTTCCATTTCCACCACAACTGTTTTAACAGCAATTCTTGATAACGCTTTCTTTTTAACAGCGTTTCTCTTGTCGTTTCGCTACCGATGATGATTCTAGCAAAGGTCAAAGGATACTTCAAATCAGTTTGTCCAATGTTTAAGAAGTGCATTGGAGTCAACGGTTGCGGCTCGTCATTGTCGTTGTAAACGTAACTTAGAGGTCGTGAATTAAGAACTGACTCCACTTCGACAAGTAGTGTAGACATTTCTTCGAAAGTCAACAATGCTTTTCCTACGATTTTTCTTAAACATTCTTTAACAGATCTAACAAGTCTCTCATAAAACCCTCCCCACCATGGGGCTCGTTCGATTATAAATTTCCAATGGATTCTTTCTTTGGCAATGAAATTCTTGAATTTGTCATCTTTTAAAACTTTTGAAAAATTCTCAAGTTCTTTCTTTGTCCTCTTAAAGGTCTTGGCGTTGTCAGAGTAGATGATTACGCAGTTTCCTCTTCTGCTCAAAAATCTGCGAAATGCAAGTAAAAAGGATTCTGTTGACATATCTGATACAAGTTCTAAGTGTACAGCTCGGGTTACTGCACAAACGAACAAAACAATATAGGATTTTCGAATGTCTTTAGAATTCTTTACGTAAACTGGTCCGGCGAAATCAATTCCACAGACTGCAAATGGAGGCGATTCTTGGATTCTATCCTTTGGTAAGGGTGCTGTCATCTGGTCTGCTGGTTTAGCTAAATATTTTTGGCAAATTATACAACCTTTTAATGCTTTTTTTGACTAACTGTCGTCCTTTAGGAATCCAGAAGCGTGATCTGACTTTAGCTAAAGTTCGCAGCAATTCCTCCATGCATTATCTTCTCATGTTCTTTGCATACAATCAGAATCGTTAGTCGAGAATTTTTAGGTAAGATTATTGGATGTTTTATTATCTAGTGAGAAGTCAGAAAATTCCAGTCTTCCTCTCAACCTCATGATTTCCTTTTCATCAATGTAAGGAAGAAAATTATACAAAGGAGAATTTTTTTCCAACTGAATTACCTTCTTTGAGGGATTTATATTCTTCGGCAAAAAACTTCTTTTGCTCTGATCTTATCCAGAAATTTTCTGCTTCTTGTAACTCTTCAGCTGTGAGAGTTCCTTGAATGTCGCTAGTTTTTCTTAATTTTCTAATGAAACGTGTTGTCCAAGCAGTGACTCTCAACACCTTCTCTAATTTGCTATATTTTTTGATATGTCGAAAAGATCATCTGCACTTTTTTCGATTGTACATTCAAGTTGATGTATATCACCGGATCTCTTTCGGTATTCCAGCTTGTTTTCATCTATTGTTTCTTTAATATCTAATCTTGGCCAAAGTTCGTGAGGGAGTTGAAGCCATTGGGGACCTTGCGTCCAAATGGTCTCATTTATTAACTTGGAAATCTTCGTTCCCCGAGATACGAGATCTGCAGGGTTGTCGACACCTGGGCAATAATGCCAATCTTGAGGTGAACTCAATTTTTGTATTTCTTCGACACGATTCCTGACAAAGGGTTTGAAGGCTTCAGGTTGTTTCTGGATCCAAAAATAAGTAATTGTTGAGTCTGTCCAAAAATAGCACGGAATTCTCAATTTCAGTGCTTTCAGAATATTGCTGACTAACTTAACTGATAACAATGCCCCCATTAATTCTAACCTCGGTAAAGTAAGGGATTTTAGTGGGGCTACCCTATTTTTAGAAGAGACAAAGGCCGTTTTGATTTCTTTATTTTCTGTCGTGAAACGTAAATATGCGACTGTACCATAGGCTTTGACACTTGCATCTGAAAAGCAATGTAGTTCGAGATTTTCGACATTAATGTTCGAGTGCATGAAAAGGTAACGAGAGATGGAGAATTCAGCCATTTGAGGTAGCTCTTCACACCACTTTCTCCATTCAGAGGACAAATCTTCAGGTAACGGTTCATCCCAATCTATTTGTGACAACCAAATCTTCTGTATTAAGCACTTTATTCTAACAGTGAAAGGTCCTAAAATTCCAATCGGATCGAATATCCGACCCAACACTTGTAGAAGAAATCGTTTTGTTTCTATTGGTTTAGATGTGAAAGACAATAAGTTCCGAACATCAAAATACAGTAAGTCCTTTGAATTATCCCATGCCATACCTAAGACTTTAAATGGGAAATTTTCTCTATTAAAATCTTCAGGATTTTCATCTGGAACGATACCCTTTTTTACCCACAATTCATGTAATTGTCTCGAGTTACTATGCCATTTGTGAAGCTGCATGCTTGCTTCCTTAAATATTTGGACCGATTCTAGACTCGTAGTTAATGCTTCATTGATCGTTGGTTGGCTTCCAATCACATCATCTACATATACGTTCTCATTCAAAAAGTTAACCGTTGTAGGATAAAGTTTATTATATTTTTTCAGATGATGTTTAATGGTAGCGGCTAATAGAAATGGACTACTATTTATTCCGAATAAAACTCTAGTGAACCTATATATGTCAGGAGAAATGGTTTCATCATTAGGGAAATCGGAAAACAGAAACCTGGTTGCGTCTCGATCTTTTTCATGTATGAGAATCTGTAAAAAGGCTTGTTTTATATCTGCGGTGAAGGCTATTAGATTATACCGAAATCTTAACAATATTTCGAATATTTCAGGGTATAAATTTGGCCCAACATGTAGACAGTCATTTAAAGAAATGGATCCTGGGGCATGCGATGATGCATCATAAACAATACGTAATTTACTTGTAGCTCGATCCTCGCGTATAACTTCCCTATGTGGCAAGTAAAACACGACATCCTCTTCATTTGAAATTTCTGAAACTGGTTCGATAATATTTTGTTTTAACTGATCTCTTAATACGTTCCTGTATTCGGAAAATAGATTAGGATCTTTTTTAAATCGTTTTCTAAGTCGATGAAATCTTTGTTCTGCGATTTCCCTATTATTATTTAGATTTGATGTGTCATGTTTCCAAGGCAATCTAACTTTATAGCGAGAATTTTCATATGTTATATTTGATTCGAAATATTCGACGACTTCATTTTCAGTTGAATCGAAGTTTTCCCTCTTATCAATAAGTCCTGAGTTTTCCAAGTCCCAAAATTTTGTTATTTGTTTGGAAATCAAATCTTCCCCTACAACTACATTGAAAGCTAAAGAGACATCATCATCACCTTTTCGTCCATGTAGGCACCAGCCGAAAATAGTTTCCACTGCAACAAGATTTTTGCTTAAGTATTTAACGTGTCCCATTACTATGTTGTAATAATAATCTGCACCAATTAGAATGGCAATGGGTTTTTTACAATCGGGAAAATCTGCGAGCAGCAAATTTTTTAATTGTCTGTTTTGCTTAATTTCTTCTGATTTAGGAGGTGGAATATCTGTACCTGATATATGATCAGTTACTAATAATTCAACTTCTATTCTAGAATCGGGAGAACTTCTATGTTCTAAAGTTAATTTAACTACGTCATAATTTTTTTGGATGGGAGAAGTATTCCCAAAAGTGTAGACAGTCAATTTTTCTTTTCTTATGACTTCGAGGTTTAATCTGTCCGCTAACTCGCGAGCACAAAAACTTTTCATACTTCCACTATCCAAGAGAAGTCTGGCAAACACCTTTTCCTTAGCTGTTTTAACTTTTATCGTGCAAGTCTGTAAAAGAATTGTATTATTTGCATTATGTGAAACGGCCGAAACAATTTCTTCT